ACACACACACACAAACTACATGTTATAGATGCACTTCGGTGAGAAAAGAAGCTTCTCAACATCTATCTCAGAATTGCTGGATTCAACATTAGCTGCTGATCAGCACAAACTGGGATTCGTGCTCCTCTGGAACCACCCCCGTTCTGGCCTTGCAAAAAAACAATTTGTTTCTCAGTGGAAGCTCCTCCAGCCCTGGCAGTGAGGAAGAAATGTTTGTGGTTCTGAGGATGCTGAGCAGAACTAACCAGAGTGGGGAGGGCCAGTGCGCTACTTAAAGCTACAAAAGTCGCACTTATGTGAGAGCGTGAAACAGAGAGATGCAAGGGAAATAATTAGGAAAGCAAATAAAAAAATGCTTGCCTCACTCCAATTTTGCAAAAAGGGAAAATAAACAGGCACAATGAAGCATCAGCTCAGGCACAGAATTCTGCCTCCCCAGCATTAGCATAATAAAGGCAGGATGATGAGTGTTTAGTAAGTCCCGAGTGCCTCCGGGCTAAACACATGCTGAAAGATGAGGGGTTTATAGCAAAGCAACTAAGGCAACATCACTGCAGCAGCTCCAATGCACAGGGGATTAGTACAGCAGGCATTTCAGTGCCAAGATGCTGCCTGAGCAGATACTCCATAAGTTATTACCCTGCAGAGCTAAGGATAGGCCTACTTGCAAAAAGCATGTAGCTGGGTCACCAAAACATCAAAATGATCTGAAAGGCAACAAACCACCTAAATATCAACACAGAAATATAGGTGGTTTTGTTTTTCTTTTTGCACGCAGTAGTGATTCTTAGATAGGCAGAACTTGCACTTTATTCCATAACCCAGCTTTCAAAATATAAGGAGCAGTAGCCTGTTGGGTTTCTGCCTAAGGAAACTGCCTATCTCTTTCAATCTCTCCAAGTCATGTTCCCCCAGCAAACTGCAAGACTCCTAATCGCTCATCTGGCTGCTGTTCTCACTCTAGATGTATTCCCTTAAGTCATTTCATTTCCAAAGTAATAATTCCTTCAGCTGGAAGAGAAATGGATCCAACTCAGCATTAGCTTATCAGCAAGATAAGCTCTAGCCACTCTAGAAAAGCAGCAAATATTTCTCCCTTAATACAGAGAAAGACTGTTATAGTTGCTGAAGAAAGGCTGCTAGCAGCTGGGGTCTCCCTTTTTTTTTTTTTTTTTTAAGGAAGAGAAATGTGCTTCCATGGGTCTTCAAAGAGAAGGCAGAGATATTTTGCTGGTTTCAAGACAACAAAATTGAAAACATGACAAATTGTACTGCAAAAAACCCCGATTAGGGAGTCAGAAGCACAATATCAGGGTCAGGAAGCATTTCAGAGTTAAGCCTCAGGAAAAAATTTGAATGAGACTGACTACAGTAGCAAGTTATATGCACAAATCTGAAATTAGAATTACGTTTGAATTTAATAGGCTTTATTAAATAGAAGCAGTCTGTAGGAAGGTAAGAGAAAGCAAGCTTTGGCTCTCCACCAGGAGGAAATTCATCTGCAAACGGTAACACACAGAAGTTGCATGAGGTCATTGAAGAGAAGCTCATAAATAGTAATTTAATAGTCAGGCACTAAACCCATACATAATTGGAGGGCTCAGCAGGCACAGCAATAAGCAATTACACATTAAATGAGTACATTAAAAGAGCAAAACTGCAAGCAAAAGTCACAGTGCACTTTCAGAAACGGCCAAACCCAAACCAAAGCGCACAAAGCTCTTCTGTTAGTGTCTTGTGCAGTGAACCTACCCGAATTCGATTGGATCCCAACTCTAACATCTGTAACTCCTGTAAATTACTTAAATTCTCAATTTTGCCGATTTTGTTGTTGACGAGGAAGAGTTTTTTAAGCTGAGTAAGCCGGTCTAGTCCCTCAATTTGTCGCAGAACGTTAAATGAGATGTCCAGGACCCTGGGAAGAAACAAAAATAAAAGTCTCATCAGTCCAGGAAGAAGAGATGATTTTGAGAGAGCAGCATTCTCAGTGGAAACAGTGTTTCTCCAGGGTGACCTCAAACAAGTGCTTATAACTGGGAAAACACTATTCCATACAGCTTTCTTTGCCGAGTCAGAAGAACACTTGCAAAAGAAACATTTCATCCTATGCAATACCCTCTGTCATTCCCTGCAGGAATAAAAATCTAGCACTGACAGCAAGAGCTCTGTGTAGGAAGCAGTGGCTAAACTCATCTGCACCAGGGTACAAAAATCACTTTAAACACCTTTCATTCCAGCTGCTTTACACAGCAGCCCATTCATTATTGGCTGGTTGGTCCTAGTGAGCTCCAGGATAATGAAACTAGTTTATCATCCAAGTCAAACCCTTATGGACAAGAGATACTGTCCTTCACAGAGCACTCAAACTGACCTCAAAAAAAAAGAGGTGATAAAGATAGGAATAAGCACAGCACAGGCAATTCAACCAGTGACAAACAACCCTTAGCCCAAGCCCGGTGATTACCCTCAACTCACTCAAGGTCTGCTAGAGCCTCCAAGTTCTCGATCTTCCGAATCTGATTATCATAGAGGTCCAGCTCCCGCAAGGTCTGCAACTGCTCCAGGTTCTCAATGCGCTTAACCAAATTCTGACGCAGACACAGAGTCTAGCAGTTGGGGATAAAGTTAAAAACAAACAGGAAAATGGATATGAATGCACTGTCCTTTGGGAAACAGACTAAGTTTTCTCATTTATCCATTAAGCTGTTGCTGGAGTTTTTTTTTTTTTTTAAACAGAATCTTTTATTGTTTTATTCATACTCTATCAAAGAAAAAATTCCATACATTAGGTTGCTCAAACACTCAAACACTGTAAAAGGCTCAGGGAATTGCGGAATCTCCATTTTTTGAACAGATTTTGACTGGACAAGACTTTCAGCAACAGGCTGTAACCAGATCTGTTTGGAACAGGGGATGACTGAAGACCTCCAGAGGTCCTTCCCAATCCAAGTTATTCTACGTTAAGCCAGCTGTGCATGCGCAGAATGCATCTCAGGATGGGCCCTCATCCTCTTCCAACACCAGCTTCCAAAACACCAGGATTTTGACTCCTACTTGACAAATGGGTAAATGCTACCTTCAGTCATAACAACTCCAACCTCATTAGGACCTCAGTCTAAAGGAGATCCTCGTGTTGATTTTCTTACAGGTCAGTTTAGTGAAATCTCCGACTCCAAGAGATAGTTTTTATTCCTTAGGACTTACCTTCACTTTCCTGAGCACTTCAAATCCTTCTATTTTCCCAATTCGGAAATGATTCAAGTCAACATCCTGAAAGACAAATGGAGCTCAGAGGGATGCAGCAGCTCTTCCAAAATAATCTTCAAAGACCAACCTGATACCTTGTTCTAAGGAAAATCATAGTCTTAAAACTACATAGCTCATTAAAGCCATACTTCAAAGAGCTCGTAAAGATTTGACTTGGCAGATGATTTTATCATCACAGGTGAAGCATGTGGCTTCTCAACTGCAAACACCCTATCTGTGAAACGGCCACAGCATGAGGCCCTCTCATGAATATGAGTTTTGTTTCAACAGAAGAAATCTTAGGGGGTAAATTGTGAATTTACTTAAAACAACAAATTCTGTTGTGTCCAGAAGGAAAATGGTCCTGCATAAAATTCTCTAACCTGCTTTGCCAGGGCTTAGCTGGGACAAGCTTTGCTATTTCCAGCTCCAGGCCTTACACGGCCAGAGACCACTGATAGTTTTGTGAGCATAACTGCACCATCTAATACACATCTGTACAGTACAGATATTCTGGCCTTGCAAGCCAGTGAGGAAAGGAGAAATAAGGCACCTCACCACCCAAAAGCTCAGCAACCCACCAGCCGACAGGCTCGTGCAGCTGCCTACGCCGACGCAGGAGGCTGGTGACTGGCTGTGCCTGCTATGAATCACGGGTCTTTCAGCAGCAACTGAAGACCTTCTCACAAAAGCTCATACTGCTGCACTGATGCTTGCAGCGTGTCCCCATTTCCAGCACCTCTGGCTTATTCTAAACTTCAAAGTGACTAATGAAATCATTCAGCTGCTCATTAGGAATAAAACACGTTTATTTCTCGTCTAAAAGCTCTGATCCAATTCTGGTGAAGATTAGCAGAGCCAGTACCTTCAGGGGAACTGTATTTAACATGGTTTCATGTGTTCCTTTGCATTGTGTTAAGCCCTTAGGAGCAAAAAATCACATCTCACCTCAGCCTCTGGGTCCAGGCTAACTGTCTCCATGTCCACTGGTGTCTCCGCTTCTCCTGCGGTGGAAGCAAAGACACGAACACATGATAGACCTGTGCTCCATGAAGAGGCTAAAACGGCTCACAATGGGACAGAAAAAGGAAGCAAACGCTCTTCAGAAGAGGAAGCAACACACAAGACTCACAGCTGAGACAGGTGAAACATTATTTTTAACGCAGAGGACTATCCGGCTGTCATCATAACATCCAGACACTAAAGCTTCCTCAACAACAGGATTTTGTGCCTAAATGCAGAACTTAAAAAACAGCACCTCACTCACCCTGCACGTAGGGCTGGTAATTAATGCTGGCTTGAGACCAATTTTTGGCACGATTCCTTTTTCTGCCTCCCCTACCAGACCATCATCATCTCTCTCAAGATTCACTGCCTGAACTGTTTCTTCTCCACCCATCTAACACAGTGCTGCCAAGAAAGCACCTAGGCACCCATGCCACCTACAGCAGCACCAAGCACCACAACCACCCCACCTGGAGCTCTGCATTCATAACTATTATATTACCAGCTTATATCACTGTGAACATTTTTGCCTGGATTTCCCTTTTTTTGTTTATTAAATGAGCTCACTGATATGCTAGAAAACACTGTTTATCCCACTGCATACGATTTCTTCCTGGGAAGTGCTTTACAGCTCTGGAAGGCAGCCCAGCGCAAGATGGAGCGGAGTTTGGCGGATAAATCCACGTTGAATAATTCATGGCCCCTTCCCGTTCCTGGGAGATGCCGCTCGCATCCGTTTCACAGGGAAAGCCTAATTAGGCTGTGCAAGACAGACATCCAGTCTGTTTCCACTTCACATGCGTGGCTCAAAGAACACTACAAGAATCTTTAATTACAGTCGTTAAGTACAAACACTCCAAATTAACCCCTGCATTACTACAAGCTCATTTGATTAACCCAGAAGCAAGCACTATTTTTACAACCTAGCATGGTTATAACCCAGAAGCAAGCACTATTTTTATAACCTAGCATGGTTATAGGTGTCACGCACACACCCCAAACACCCCCTGTCCCTAACAAGGGCTTCTCCTACAGATGCTTGGCATTTTCCATAGTACAGCAAAGACTGACCAGTTTTGGTCGCTCCACAGGGAACAGCCCTAACTAAACCAAATCATGGAGTTTAGGCATGAAACACAATAATCTCTCCTCATCTTTTAATGCTTACATATATATACACACCATAAACTATCAGGAAGCATAATTCGTATTGGGGGACGCAAAGCAAGTTGGGTGCATTTAATCAAAACCTCACCAAAACTGACATGAATATATATCTATCAATATTTTAACAACAGACAACACTTCTTTCTCCCCCATTATTCTCCCAAATCAGGATCAGGAGTGATTTACTTCAGCAGAGAAGTGGGATACACTGCCCTACCAAAACTGAACCTATTTGATCTGCTGCTAGGATGCAAGATGCTGCAAGCACAACGCTCCA